TGCAAACCAAGGTTCCCACGGTGTTTCCCAGGTTGATCCAAATGATGTCAATGAAGCTTTAATTGACGAACATTAGTTTCTTTATATGTAATAAGAGTTAAATCAATTTGGACCAAATGGATCTTTCGCAATAAACTTGAAAAAAATGGAAATGTTCTAAGAAATAAAACAAGGCTTGTTGCGAAAGGGTACAATCAATATGAAGGCATAAAATACGATGAGACTTATACCCCTATAATTATATTAGAAGTCATAAGGATGCTTTTATATTTTTCATGCATTTTAAATTGCAAACTAATCTCAATGGACGTAAAGAGTGTGTTTTTGAATGGTTACAACCAATAGGAAGCGTATGTTGATCAATCTCCCAGGACTCTAAATTTATCTTCTCATAATCATGTCTTCAAGTTGAAAAAGGATCTCTACTGTTTGAAACAAAACCCTAGAGATTGTTATGAATGATTGGAAAAGTTTTTGCTTGAAAATAATTTTCAAAGAGGGGAGGTTGATACAACACTTTTCATTCAGAAATATGAGCATGACATTATATTTGTGAAAAATATATGTCGATGATATTTTATTCGGTGTTATTAACAAGTCCTTATGCAAGGATATTTCTAATATGATGTAGACTACATTCGAAATGTCTATGGTGGGGGAGCTTCAGTACCCTGTAGGTTTACAAATATATCAGTCAAAGGAAGGCAGCTTCATGAATCAAGTTAAATATTGCAAACAGTTATTAAAAAGGTTCAATATAGAATAAGAGAAACATATCTCAACTCTTATTAGCACTTCTTGTAGTTTGGATAAGAACGATGGAGGAAAAGAGGTTGAAGAAAGAAAATATCGATGTAAGACCAATTCCCTTATTTACCTTACTGCATCTCGTCCATATATTATGTTATATGTCTGTATATGTACACGCTTTCAAGAAAATCCCAAAGAATCGCAACCCTCTGAGGATTGAGCATCTCACTAGCATGCCACTTATGAGTTTATGGTAGCCAAAATGGATTGATTATGCTTTAGTTGGGTGCAGTGATTCCAATTTTGCTGGTTATAAATTGGATTGAAAAAGTACCAATGAAACTTGTCATTTTCTTGGGATCTCACTTGTATTCTAGCATAGCAAGAAACAAGAAAGTGTTGCATTATCCACATCTGAAGCAAAATATGTCATTGCGAGTAGTTCTTGTGTGCTATTTAGTTGAAGCAGAGTATTATCTCGATAAAATGTGATAACACTAGCATCATAAGCATCACTAAGAATTTGGTACTTCACTCTCGACTGAAACACATTGAGATTAGACACTATTTTATTAGGGAACATGTAAAAAAAAGGATTGTGTAGCTGAGGGTTTTCTCACTGAAGAGAGCAATATTTAAAGTCAGTGTTAAATATATTGCTTGTCCTGGGAAATAAGAGGATAAAACAAGGTGATTATCATTGCTTTCATCCTGATCAGAGTTAGTCGAACTACTATCATATCACCCAAACATTCCTAGGTCTACAAGCTTTCAATCAACCCTCCCATCACATCACATTGAATTCGCTAAACAACGATTCCATATTCTAGACCTTTCATCATGTGTTCTAGGCTCTATTAGATCATCATTCTCATCAAACTCTCTAGTAAACACCACAACTCAGTCATGTAAAAGGGAAAAGAGATAAGGGAAGCCGAACTCAATACTTGCGATGAATATTTGCTTGAGAAAGTGTTGGGGTGATGAACATATAAGTGGAGATGTAATATGTAATTGAAAGAGGAAGAATACTGAAGGAAATGATAAAAAAGGAAATACCATGGGTCATATATTTAAAGGGGGTAATTTGCCTCTTAAAACTAGCAGGTACATAGATGGTCGTCATCGTTGTGGTATGTAGGGTCATATTCATTATTATTATGGTAGAACATTCAATGGCCTTTACCGCAAGCATGCACATAGAAAAACATCCATCCTAAATCATTTGGTCATTCCCAAGACAGTTTTCATCATTGCATCACATTAAATTCACCATCAATCCTACAATTAAATTTTCAACTCTATATGAGTCACATATTAACTCTTACGAATTGTTGAGACCAAAAATCAAGCCCAACTGCATGCATCAATAAACACAAAATTTGCCTTGCCCTTATAAGCGTCGTGCTCGAGAGACTATGGACTAAAATGTACTAATTTAATCGCTCGGCCCCTACATATCTCATGCTTGATGGACTGTGAATTGAGATATTTTGCCTTAATCACTTTTTCCTTACAGGCCTCTTGTTTGAGACATTGTGGACTGGGATATCTTTGATAAAGGCCCCAAGGGCTCGACCAATCAACTCCTAAACATCTAAGTAACATGCAAGTACCTAGAACTTGGATAGTAAATAGAGAGGTCACATGGCAAGCATGTGATCTAGCCTGACCCACTTCTTCTTGTGGGAGGACGTGGTAAATCATATGTTAAGCAAGTGAAATAAGACTCTCAAAAGAGATGACAAAAATATTCATTAGATTGACCTCACTTCCAACATAATAAGATGATTCACCTCGATCACTCCCCCGATGATTCAAACTCAAGAGACGTGTAGTCGATTTTGTAGGTTTAAGAATTAATCTCCGCGTTGGCTATTTCATCAGAGTTGCCGCCTATAATTACTCATCTATGCAATTGAATAGATTGATTCACTTTTGTACTTGCTAGAACCTTGATCCATTTGACGTATCTAATCGCAGGTAGGAGTGGAAAACGAGCATGTATATCCCGTTTAGATCAGTCTCGCAAAAGCCCGTAGAAAAATGAGAGTGGTGTAGACGTGTATTGTTGAGGAGCCGGACCTAAAATCTTGGTATGTCCGCAGATAAATGAGGTTGGGGAAGACATTACACCTTTAAAGTCTAAAAATTACCAAACTTTATGTTATGTCCATGCTCGCAAAAATATGGGATGAGACAAAATAGACATATAAAGGGTGCATGACTAAAACTTTAATCTATCTCATAAGAAAGTGCGGATAAAATAGATATGTCGACGGATCGAACCCATTTTTTTCTATCCTGGTCGCATCACATGTAGAATAACATCTATTGTACTCAAATAAGTATGTTTCATAAACATCTCTAGTTTCCATTAAACTAATTAACACCCACGCTCTCTCATATAAAGTAAAATCAAAATAAAACAATCACTCTCTCGTCTTAAGTCCATATAGAGGGTGTCAAATGAACATATAAAAATTTATGGGTGTTCATCTATAATGGCCCTTAAGGAAATGAATTTTTTCTTTACAAAGAGACAATATGGTAACTAATTGTCTTTTTGAATTTTTAAAACATAGAGACCCTTTGCAATTAAAAAAAACAAAAAGAGACAAGCTACATAGAGGCAGGCACCGTACTAGTTTTTTTTTTTTTTCCTTTTTTTTTCTTTAAAGCAAATTAATAATAACTATTTCATAATAATTGTTTTAAGAGAAATAATATTTCCATAATAAAAAAGAAATAAAATTGTTGTAATCTTATTTTGCTTCTTCCATAAGCACATTTTTGGCTTTCTTAAAAAGCCACACTTTAGTCCAAAAAAAAACCACACACTTCATTCATGCTTACAAAAAGTTATTTTCATTAGCATGGCCATACAAAAACACACATTATTTGATTGTTTTAGATTTATATATTATTTAATATCTTAATATTTTTTTAAGTTTATGGTTGTGGCTTTTTATATAATAATTGTATTATTATAAACACCTATGTAGAGGTACTATGTTAGTTAACTGTTTTTTTTTAAGCAAAATAATAATAATTGTATTATTATAATTAGAGATGGCAACAAGGTAGTTAGGATTCAAATATAGATGTTTAAAAAGTACCCATTTGTTGTATCGATTTTGATTGGAGTAAATAATTAAATTTAGAATTATTTTAAACGGGTTTGAGTGCTTCACTTGTCTCAATTTTCAACAAATAAATAATTAAATTCAAAATTTAATTTAAATAGATTTGAGTACTTCATTTTTTGCTCTTAACTCTCTATTGAAATTATTTTTTTTAGATTAAAATATGTTTTGAATTCTAACAAATGTTAACATACATTAAAAATAATAGATTAAAGTGTTAATATCTTAACCAAAACATAAATATTTTAAATTATTAAAATCAAATATTTTAAATTATTATTCGGACGAGTTAAAGATGGATATTAATGTATTTTCAAATTTTGAAATCGAAAAAAATTAAAATTCAAATATTTCCTTTAATCTCCAACTTATATTTGCATGTACCGTTTATTTTCATGTCTAAACAAAAATGGTTTTATTATATTAATTCCAATTTGTTATCTAAGAAGCATTTTTTCACCTTTAAAAAAGAACACATCCATGGACAGTATGAAAATACTAAATACAAATATTTCCTTCGTGTTATCAAGAAGTTATTTTTATTGAGAAATGATACTTGATCACTAAAAATAGGTGTCTCAAAAAGTGTTATTTTTTACGGTGTAAAAATTAGATGTATAAATAATATATTTGATTTTTATTTAGAGTTATAATGGTGAGAATTGTGAAGAGATTAGCTGAAGCTATAATGAAAGTGGCCTCTACCATATTTTTAAAGTTTTCAAATTAAAGAATATAAAGTGCTTTGATTCTCTCTCTCTCTCTTGTTTTTTTCTTAAATAGATATATTTGTTTCAATCATTGATTTCACTAATTTTTTACCTATCTAGTTAGTCTCTTGAGGCAGCCATTGCATTGATTCAACTTATACAAGCTAGCTGTTTTTGCCCTTAAAAATATTTGTAGAGATGCATTGGGTTATAAAATTGGTATTTTGGTGTAATTTATAATTTAATAAAAATATAAATTTTTGTGACTATAAAATATATGAAGTCTGACACATATTGATGTACTGCCATGCATTGCTATATATAGAAGGGGAAGAGACCCCGAAAAAACTGTTCTTGAAACAATTAGTAATACACCCCCCACTTCAACCACGAAATGGAATTGGGTGGTGCTCTCAGTGTTGATCCCATTCCACTTCTTACTCCTTACAAGATGGGAAAATTCAATCTTTCTCATAGGTATTTGTATGATTTACTTTCTTTTCTTTTAAGTTACTCGAAGGAAGAAGTCATAATAATCTAATTAGAGTTTAACTCTAACTGATTTTTAAATCGATTTATAAAGTAAGGGTGACATTTTATATAAACTCTTTCAAGTCAGTATTCGTTTTCGTGAGTTGATTTTCGATTTTTCATTGTTTGGCATTTCTCACTAATCCTATTTTCAGAGTTGTATTGGCACCATTGACTAGACAAAGATTCTACCACAATGCCCCTCAACCACATACTAGTCTATATTACTCTCAAAGGACTTCTCAAGGAGGTCTTCTCATTGCTGAATCTACTGGTGTCTCTGAAAATTCTCTAGGGTAAATTTATCCCTCTTTGGACTATTTGCAAGCAAAGCAAAGATTAAATACACAGTAAAAGTAGTTAATTTCATAGAGACAAAAAATGATATTACTAAAAATATATTTATATGATTGATTGTAATGTGATTGAAGGTATCCAAACACACCAGGCATTTGGAGAAAAGATCAAGTGGAAACTTGGAAACCCATTGTAGATGTTGTTCATGCCAAAGATGGTATTTTCTTTTGTCAGATTTGGCATTGTGGAAGAGCTTCAAATTCAAATGGCCAAACACCAATATCTTCTACTAACAAATCACTCAAACCACAAACTCGAAGCAATGGCATTGATATTGCAAACTTCAAGCCACCGAGACGGTTAAACACCCATGAAATTCCTCATATTGTCAATGATTTCAGAATTGCTGCAAGGAATGCCATTCTAGCTGGTAACTATATCATTGCAGCGCGGTTTGGCTGTTATTTTTGTATAATCTTGATTATGTTTATTAACTAGAATAGTTCAATCATGATGTGATGTTTGCAAATCGTAGGTTTTGACGGGGTTGAGATCCATGGAGCTCATGGCTACCTAATTGAGCAGTTTATGAAAGATAAAGTGAATGACAGAACTGATAAATACGGCGGAACCATTGAGAATCGCTGTCGATTTGCTTTAGAAATCGTTGAAGCTGTTGTGAATGAGATTGGTGCAGAAAGAGTTGGAATTAGATTATCGCCTTTCGCAGAATATGGAGAATGTGGAGACTCAAATCCTGAATTATTAGGACTTTATATGGTTAATGCCCTCAACAAATTCAATATTCTTTACTGTCACATGGTGGAACCAAGAATGAAAACTATTACTGGAAAAGTCGAATGTCCCCGAAGCCTGTTACCGATGCGAAAGGCCTTTAATGGTACTTTTATAGTCGCAGGAGGGTACTCGCGACAAGAAGGGAACGATGCTATAGCTGAAAATAGAACAGATCTTGTTGCTTATGGTCGTTTGTTCATAGCTAATCCGGATTTACCAAAGAGATTCGCGCTTAATGCACCTCTCAGTCAGTATAATCGCGAGACATTCTATACACCCGATCCAGTTCTTGGTTATACGGATTATCCATTTCTTGGTTAAACTATAGTTTTGGTCATTAGTTAAGGTTTTGAATTTTGGAGTGTTCTATATGCTTTGGAGTTTATGAGTTTCTCCAAGTCTTGAATTGCAGCTTTTATTGTACTTGAGGATGTGGAATTCTGATATGTTTCAATTGCCTCTAAATTTCTTTGAGGAAATTTCATCATTCTCTATGGCATTATTTTCCATGTTGTCAATTTATGCATCTATAATACACAAATGAAAAACATGTTTTTCCAAATTCAATATCAAGCATATATAACATGACATGCAACTTTCTTTTCAGACTAATGAAGAATAAAAGTTCTAAGATGACCCCAAATCAGTAACAAAAGAATACCATTAAGGAAGACCAAAAACCTTCTTCTTTCCACTTCACATGACATTCTAACATTCTCTTTCCTGCTGCACATGCTGGTGAGCCGTCATCTGCCGCACTGCCATCACCAGCATATTATAATCTATCTTCACCTCTGGATCCATGTTTTTAAATTCTTACCGCGGATGCTGTCGTTATTGTAGATGTTGCGATTGTAGTCATTGCACATTGTAATTGTTACGGTGTGAATTTGGATTGAGAAGAATTTGAAATGCACCTTAAAAACCATTAATGTTAAAAAATTTAAAAGTAAATAAAGTTTTGAGGTCTAAATTTTAAGTTTTGGGAGATATACTTGAGAAAAAATGACTAAGTGGTGTTTAGACAAGTGTCACAAATTGAGAAGAGAAATTGAGAAACTTAAAAGAAAGTAAGAAAGAGTTTGTTCTCATATTAATAAATAGAATATAAATTATTTTACAACTCTCTCAAGATGCATGAACTCTCTTCTTATTTGTGATTATTTATTTTGGAAGCAAAGTTCAAGGTACACTAGTATATAAATATGGTGATCTTAATACTCAATTCTACCATGATGTAGCAACCTCCACAACATTATCAGAATGCTCATAGAAACCTGATCTGACCTGATCAGACTTGGACTGTCATGGCTGGCTCCGAGCTGAAGTTTTGAACGAGGTGGGGGGGATACCTGCAAGGCACTCCGATGATGAAGTAAGTAAGAGCGCGAGCAGGCAAAATGTGAGTATATGGGATAGCATGAATACCTGACCCTCTGAAAACAGAGGGTATTTATAGCCCCCAGTGCTGGGCCAAGGTTCCTTCATTGGGCCGGACAGGTTTGGCCCAATGGAGGAACTGCCAGGTTCTACGTGCGTAGTGGGGACCCGCACGTGGTCCCCTTCCTGGATGTCCTGCGTGAAGTGCGGGCGGACAAGGACGCGGTCTTTTCGGGGTCCCGTTGAGAGCGCAGTGGACCGTGTCCGCTGCTGAAGGAGTGCTCGAGCTGAGGTCGAGCTGGATAGCACGAGGACGGAGATGTCGCCCAGTGACGTATGTCGGGCATAGCTATGGTCCTTAGGTCGGCGTGACCCCTAGCAAGTCCGTTTGGATTGGGTCTTTATCGTTGCTCTTGGGCCAGCCCGGCCCAGTCCAGAACAGGAGCCCCCCAAGTCGTGGTTCCTTGAGTTAGGAGCCATGACTTGATCTTAGGTTGCTTCCGTTTCGGGGCCCCGTATCCGGGCAAGAGATGCAGCTCCTCGTGGGGTACTCGAGGGTTTCCCCGTATCGTGCTCGTGGACAGGTTCCCTGCGAGGAATGCTCGGGGATTTCTCGACAGCCTGCGTCTGTCGAGCACGCGGGGTCTCTTTTGGGAACCGTGCCGCCACCCTATGAGGATAGGGTCATCATTGCCTAGGGGAGCTGTGCGTCGAGGAGGGGAATCCGTGGTTGCCCGAGGTGACGTTTGGTATTCCACGTCATCACTATAAATAGGGTCCTTGGGACCCAGAACGTGTTTCCACTCTTCGCGCCTCTCCTCTTCGCTCTACTTATGATGTTGTTGTTCTTCCCAGATTCTTGTAGGACCGCCGCGATCTCCGCCGCTGATTCCTTTCCTCCATCGTCAAATCTCCTTCTTGATTCCAAGTGAGTGACTTGTCTCCTTTGTTTTTCTGTTGTGATGCATGATTTTTCATCGTTTTTAGACATTTAGAGGCTGTACGCTTGGGATTAGCCCGGCAGATTCATATGTAGCTCGACGGATCCATACGTATGTCCGGAAAGTGCATGCTTGTGCCCGGTAAATGTATAGTTTAGGTTTTAATCTGCAGTGCTGTCCGGGGTCTTCATGATCCAGGGCGCCTAATTCATGATCGTGCCCGGTAGACTCATAGCTCTAGCTCTAGGCTTTATGATTTTGCTCGCTATGTTTATGCCCTGGGTCGACGTATTCATGAGTGACCGAGTTGTCGGTCTATTTAGGCGACTTATAGGAGGACCTGTCGAGGTATCTTGGAGTCGGGGAGATGGCTGCTGTTTTTTGTTCCAAAACACCAACTTTGCAGTCGCGCGTGGAGCGACGTGGTTTTTCGTGCCCTTCATCTCGTCCGTTATGGCGAGCGTATGGTTTCGCGCCCAATTGATTGGTTTCCCGTGCTTTGTAGGTAACCATGGCGGACGAACCGTGCTCTTCAGGACGGCCCGAGGTGGAAGAGTGATGGGTTTAATCTGTAACGTATAGCCTAAATGTAGTACTGCAAGTGTACAACCTATCGAAGTAATATATAAGATTATCGAACCACAGAGACCAATTGTCAATCTATCAACTCTATTGCTAAGGTGCTTATCTAAGGCGAACAAGAATATTGATGTGAGTGCAGTGCACAAAATAAATGAGCGAGGTAAATAACAGTTTAAAAGACAGGTTGGAATGTAAATCATGTAATCAGATATTGGTCCGGTCATGCGTAGATGAACCTACTTATGGGGCAGTATTTTCTATCGATAGCAAAGAATCAATTTAACGGGAACTTGTAGCTTTTGACTACTAAGAACCGAGTTTACTCTTTAAATTAAATTCCTTTATTGTCACATATAAAGGGTGCCTTCCGCGTTAAAGAGGTAAACCTATTTTTAAGAAATTGATAGTTTTGACTTAACAGAAAAGTGATTTTACTTGGAAAGATTAACTTAAAGAGACTTTTGGCTTTTGACCAAGAGTCAGATTTCAAACCTACAAACGCGTCCGAAAATAATTTCAAAATCGTTTTCTAAAAAGGTCAATGATTCCTATTTAACCAATCAACGGCTTTCGCTCTTTTTGTTTGGTTAAATAATAATCAAGTCGTATCATTAGTTTGGACGGCTTTCGATCTTACCCAATAAACATTTAAACACAATTGACTTAAGTTAGAAGCAAAACATCCCCAGAGTATTTTCACTAGCATGATAATTGGAACACGACCATGATGACAATCATTACATCCTAACCTTTATAGTTTAGCCAGACATAATAAGTGCGAGTCTATAAAACGTGTAGACTATGGTAAGAGCATTTAAAGTCTATAAAACGTGTAGACTATGGTAAGAGCATTTAAAGTCTATAAAACGTGTAGACTATGGTAAGAGCAATTAAATAAAGAAATGCAATAAAATAGAACCTTGCTCCAGTCGGAGACTTGAATCTGATACAAATCTACGGAAAGGTAAGGCTGGTATGATGAACTTCAACCAAAGTGCTCCAAGACTCGATTACAACTCAATCTACACCGCAATAACTCCCCGATGTGAAGAGATTATTATTTTACAGAAACTGATAGTATATGGCTTAAGATTGTACTAAGCTTGGATGAAACTAAAGAATGAAAATCGAAAACTATTTATAGAGGATCCTTGAGGTGCGTAAGGACCAGCATGCCCCTTAACTTCTTTTGAGCGGGAAGCTTGTTGTGAAGGCCGCGGGCGCGGTGGGGGTGGCCGCGGGCGCGGTGGCAGGAACTGCCACATTATGGAAACGTGGCAGTTGATCTCTGGGTGAAAGTGGGCCACGTCATCGCGTTCCCTGTAGCCAGTGCGGTGCTGAACGCCATAAGTGCAAAATGTCTTGAAAAACCCTAATTTCTTGGCGTTTTGGCTCGTTTCTTCACAGAAGGCTCTGAAATGACAAGAATCCTGAAAACAAAGGAAAAAGGAACATAATACGAGAAAATGACAATAAAAACTAAGGAAAACATGTGATATTTGAGTCAGAAACATAGTGCGATTTAGTGCGATCAAATCCTCCCACGCTTAGACCTTTGCTTGTCCTCAAGCAACAACTCTTAGAAGTAGATGAAAGAAAATTATGGTGTATACAGGTTTTGGGCAAAGAGGGCTTCTAAGTCCGAGTAAGGGTGTGTTGTCAGGCACTAACTATCTGAATCAAGGGTATCGTAATTACACTACTCGCAGAAATGCGGACATAAACCTCATAAGTATACAGATCGATCCTAATATCCTTACTATGCTAAGACTTCCTTTTTTACGAGGTCCTTTTTCATTCAGGCGCAATCACATTAAGCCCGTTATCCGTACATACTCATGGTGTAGTGACCGGTTAGTGACTCTGATCTCAAGTGATGGGATTCTGGTACAAGAGTTGGTTTAATCCCTTTTTATTTTACCCATTTGCAGTTGCGGGGGATCGGACCGTAGTCCGCCCTACCAAGTCCAGCACCAGATACCTCTGAACCAACTACAACGGATATGCCTTATATATATTTTTTTCTTTTTTTTTTCTTTGCTTTTGTTAGTGCTTACAACTTTCTTGAGTTGAGTAGTCTTTGTGAGGATCACCCAACTCGTAGTCGTATTCATACTTTATTTTATAACTTTTAAGGCAGAATAGAGATCATCCACTTATATTCATCGATCCCACACTTAGAGCATGCTTAGGCCGGAGCTGACTGCTAAGATAAACTACTTGAAGACCTATTTGTACAGTTTTATTCAAAATCATAGCATATTGGGGAGAAAGGATCTAATCTAAATGTTCAAAAAGGCTTACGGTGTAAAAGCGATAACGAATTTTTCAAAAAGTGAGTGTCCAAGAAATAGACCCTATCTAGGACCTGTCTCATAGCCCAAATCCTTAAAAACAACCATAAATCTTTGAAAAAAA